TCTCTCTCTCTCTCTCATCAAACAACTCTTTAAAAAAAAGCAATGATTTAATAAGAATTAAATGAAAAAGCAAAGAATTAATATGTATTTACAACTAGCTAGACGTCTATAAAATTTTCTAACCGAAAAAATATATGTGTATAAACCATTAGAATAGATAAAACCTTAAAAAACAACATTATTATTAAAAACGAAAGAAAAAATCTTGCTATTGTATTGGTTTCACGGCAAAATTTTTAGTGACTACTTAACTTGCTTGAAAGTGAAGAAATACTCTCAAAATCCATTAATTTGCAACTCGCACTCGCACAAACAATAATCGAGAGCCTCACTTCGGTAAAGCTATTCGATACATGAGACAGCAACATAAACAAACCCTCTCTCTCCCACAAAATGAGATTCATAAGCTTACCACTAGGTGGCACTGATACAACCTCACACAAATTAAACCTAACATTAACATCGACTGAGTAATTAAAAAAACTCGCACTAAGCACAGGTACATTACCCATTACCCGACTAATTATAAATATCGTTAGAAAGCTTGGCATTTCAATTAAACGCCTTAAAAAAAACCTTGCGTGCTACCAATATAAAAGAAAAAAATATCGCTTCTCAAGATGAATAAACGTCCTGCAAATCGAGTAACTCGCACTCAGAGCTCCGCACGTTTCATCGTGAAGAGCGTACACTCGATGCGAGTCAATCGATTCCATTTTTGAAACTCGCACTAAGCCTACAGGTACGTAATGTAGATAATTTCTGACCTAGAAAACGTTTTTTAAGTATGTATATAGACGAAATTTATAGACAGATGTAAGAATGTGTTTTTTATTTTAATTTCAAGACCGATAGTAATCGAGGTTGTCAGAATATGAACGAGTAATAAGACTGTTCCTAAAGCCGAAATAATAATCATTAGCTGACGCTCTTACGTAAGCACCTTTTTCTTTTAAACGCTGGGGAATCCATTTACGATTCCCCGGTCGAGGAGGGTAACGGACCGGTTTATGTCGGAATCCAGCGCCACCAGAGAGGAAGAGGGGGGAAGAGAAGGACCGAGGTGCTCCACCTCCCCCAAACACGTAAACATTAGCTGGTGATAGAGAGTATTGTAAGCCTTCACCCTGTAGATACCACCACTCCGTGGGGTCCTCGCGTACCCTTACGGAGGCGCAGTTCGGCTTCGGGGCAAACGCCCTCTGTATTTTGTGGAAAACATGAATAATTTGTATTTGCCTATGTATGGCTTTGACTGCGTGGACGTATTATTATTGCCTACTTCTTGTCGAATAATGCTTTGAACAAAAAAATTTAGGTTTCCGCGTGTCCTTAGCTGTCAATCTTACGAGTAATTTTTTAACATTGTTATTGCGTATCGATCGTAATCTATATATTAATACGTGAAGCAAAAACTTTGTATCCCTTTTTACGAAAATTGCGGGGACGGAGGAGTATGAAATTTTTCACACTTATAGAGAAGAAGTGCACAATGCTAATATTTTTTTTTAAATAATGCATAAAAGATACATTAAGTCAATAAAGAAAACATTACACACACTATATACCTCTTTTTTTNATAATAATGCGTTTAGGATGATGTTGTCACTGCCGCGCTTTTGTAGTGCATCCACAATGTTTGCGACATCTCACACCGATGACTTCTTTGCAATAATGCGGAAGAGAAGTGCATCGTTATTGCGTCGAGTTCGTGACAGTGGCAACAGTCTTTTGAAAATCATATCGAGCAAGATCGAGGGACTGCTGATCAATAGCCTATGCAGTAGGCACTTGGAAGGAGAAAAAATAAAATAAAAAATGTAATGGTATAAAATGTATATATATAATGATAGTTATGTGTTAGATTTTTTAAGTCACTAACATAGATATAAGTAATTACTACTAACAAAATGTTATGGTTTTAAAAAAAAACTGAAATAAAGTATTAATAATAATAATAATAATAGTACCAAATAAAGGTAGAAGTAAAATTAACAGAAAAATTCCATCCCTATCGCTCGTTGTAACGGATATACATATTTATTTAAACCCAGAAACACAGGATGGTTACAATCCGGCAAGGGATTGATCATAAAATTAAAAAAAAATCCCTATGCAGTGTGACGAGAGGACATTTTGTGACGACACCACACATTCTCAGATATGGATCAGAAGAAGACGGAGACTGCGTGTCGATCCACGTACAGTAAAAGGTTCCGTAGTTAATTGGATCTCTCCCGGTTAATTGGAGCTCTCAGGTTCCAGTTGCGCAAGACCTCCGGACCAACAGCATTCTATCCTCCATCAAAATAAATTGAAATCATGTACATAATTGAAATGAAAGTTAATAACGAATTCAATAAAAAACAGCACAATTGTTCTAAAACAACTTATTGAAAGTTATTTATTCAGATGATTTTCGTTGAGTGTTTGATGTACTTGAATTCTTTCAGAATGCTTCACTCAAAGCTGCAGGGTATCTTTGAAGACTGATGAAGCACATACTACTAGAAGTATTTACTTTCCAAGCTGTCCTATTGACACTTATGTAAGCATATTTATGTTTTCTTTTATCTCAAATTAAACGTTTTTGAGTGCCAACCCTATTTATTTATTTTACTATTTAATCGGATAATAGACAGCATCTGTCTTCCGAACTTTACTTATCTAGCCCATTAGAAATAGCCTCAACATAATAATTACTGCAAAATTATAATTTGCGTAATTTCTGGTGGTAGGACCTCTTTTGAGTCCGCGCGGATAGATACCACCACCCTGCCTATTTTTCTGCCGTGAAGCAGTAATGCGTTTCGGTTTGAAGGGTGGGGCAGCCGTTGTAACTATACTTGAGTCCTTAGAGCTTATATCTCAAGGTGGGTGGCGCATTTATTTTGTAGATGTCTATGGGCTGCAGTTACACACTTAACACTAGGTGGACTGTGAGCTCGTCCACCCATCTAAGCAATAAAAAAAAGACCATAAATATATCGACAGACGGAACTATAGAAACACGAATTATTTCTATTCCATTATTAAGTACATATATATGTAGGCAATATAAATGAATACTGTGTGTAAATAATTTATGTCTGTCTGTAAAAAAAAAAAGCTGCTATTGAGATGAGTTTTTTATTTACATAATTGTGTCTGGCTGTTTTTCAAGGCCTTACAAAAGTAACATTATGTACTTTTAATTATTAATTATTTTTGTTATTTCTCCAAGGTTTCGTGTAATGGCGTTAGCGTTGTTTCCGAGTTGTAAGTCATAAGACTGATGAATTAACTTAATAGTGGGCTGATTAAAAGCTGTGCAATAGTGGACTGAACAATAATAAAAAAATAATCTAAAAAGAGTTTATAAAGCATTTTTTTCGATTTTCGCAAATCAACAATTAAAACTACTTTACTTTACGATAATAGTAAAAACACAATAATAAATGCGAAATTAAACCGTAAAAGTTGCTGAAATTAAGGAGTTATAAGTTAACTATTTCATAATATGAGTTTAACTATCGTCCCGTCACTATTTTGTGAATTATTGATGACCACAGTAAAATCAGTAAATGATACCCAACACTTATTCTAATAATAAGGTGCATTGTCATAATAACATGTTTTAATTTTCTCCCTATCTAATCTCTGGCAGCTTAAGTGATTATTCCAGCAACTCTCGGACTGGAAATAATGTGCCTGGCTAATTATTTTAAGTGGGTCGCGTTTCCGATCCGAACGTAGATTCCGCGAAGCACTGCTCTTGCTAGGGCTAGTGTTAGAAAATTCTCACCTGCGAGAAGCCTGAATAGCCCCTCAGGCTACCAATGAATAGGTAGCCACTGATCATCAGGTTGGCCGTATGCTCGTCTGCCTACGAGGGCAACAAAATACTGCATCACCAACGATGCTAAAAATACCGCATTACTTGAACAATCCATGGTTACAAATAAATCGGAAATTGAAGATTTTTACATTGAAGGAGACAATCGTAGTTAATACCGAAAATAGCAAATGATACGTTGCCGGACTACGCCAACTACATATCCAGTGAAAAGCAGGGTAGCGAAGAAATAGAAAAAAAAAAGATACCTGCCCGGAGATTCGAACACCTGCATCGTCGCATCGCCAGGTACGAATGCAACAGACACCTTATCATTTAGGCCACGACGACTTCAATGTCAATGATAGATTATTTTTTTTATTTAGCATTAAAAAACAGCTGATGTGACTGAACCAGATTTAGCTTCTGTATTTCAGGTCTTTGTCTGAGATTTAAAATGAATCCTAATACTGAACAAACATGTTACAATAAAATTATCTTTATAGTAAACGCATGATTGTCGCTTCGTATTATAAGGGTGTGCGGCTACTCAATTTTTGTTTTTTTTTTGTTTTCCTATCTTTGTTGGCCTGGGAGGCGTATTTCAGCGTAACCCTAACGAGTAGGTGAGCTCACGGGGCTCAAGCCTCACGTCGTTGCTAACACTAATCCTAGTAAGAGCAGTGCATCGCAGAATTTACGACCGGATCGGAATCGCGACCCACTGAGAAGATCCGGCGAGAAACTCGGTGGGCTATGTCTGTGGGTAAATTTACTAGCCGAACCCTTCGTCGCAAGCAACGGGTTCGATGAGAACGATGACCGGACTACCCAACAATGAACATTTAAGTTCTTCACAACTCCACAGCTCCAAAAACAAGACCTCTACAACAAAGTTCCGACTTCACTAATGCAACCTAAGCAAATATTTTTGCATTTAGCATCAGTTTAATTATTTATTTAATTTCTTGCATAGATGGGTGGACGAGCTCACAGCCCACCTGGTGTTAAGTGGTTACCGGAGCCCATAGACATCTATAACGTAAATGCCGCGAACCCACCTTGAAATATGAGTTCTAAGGTCTCAGTATAGTTACAGTTAGCTGCCGTTTAAAGAAAGCGCACAATCCAAAGCAAAGGTTAGTAAAATTTAATGATGGCTCCGTTGGTAAAAGTTAAAAGGTGGACCACTGATCAATACCTAATGATCTTTTCATATTTCAAACAATAATTTTACTGCTTACTATCGAGTTTATTATTTTCATTTCATAATTTACAAGTAAAATTGAATTTACCCGCAAGTTCATCGATATTTATCATAAACTCCTCTAAAGATTCAGTTACTGCTTGGACAGTTTGTTCAAAATTGACAGTTAATTAGGTACCTACCTACATAATGGAAAACAATATTTTGTATTTTACAGCACACAATAATAATTATTATAAATGTTTACAAAAAAATAAAAAAATAAATAGTAAATACAATAATATCAGTAATATTGTTTGTTTTCTGTAGTTATCGTATAAAAACACAAAGTCATATTATAGTTAGCATTGCCTTTTTTCAATTTTTTTCTATTCTTGTTTACTTTTTGTTTTTACTGTAAAAACAAACCGCCCGAATTGAGAGCATCGTCTTTATGTCGTTTAATAATCTAATGAATTTGTAGTATTTCGAAGTACCTATCTACGTACGTAAATGTGCACTAATAAACGATAATGAAAATATTAAATAAAATAATATTTTTGCATATTAACGACAAGAAGTAATGTGTACACTAAATAAAACAGAATAACCGATTTTTTTTTAGTGTACACTAATATTTCAACGAAGGGACATCTTAAAATATTAATACTATTCTTTTTGTGTACGATCAATACTTTGTAAACCACGTAGGTGTCATGTTATTAGAACTACAATTACAGTTTATAGTACTTACTTAATTAACTTTGCAAGTTTACAGCGGTAATTCAAAACAACTCGTTAATTGTAACGCGAGAAACGTCCGCGTCAATGCTAATGTCGCGATTAACTGAATCAAATTTTGTTTGGCGCGACCGCCACGAGTGACCGAAGCGCGAAGCGAACGCAGCTGTGCTCTGTCTGACTAAAATCGTCTGTCACAACAGGGTATGAAAATCAGTACGTTAACTTAACGAATGTTAAACTAGCCACATTTTTAATTGTTATACATAGACGGTCAGTTAATCGCATTTTAATGTTGCAGTTTTGTCTTTTGAGCAAAAGATCTCGAAGATCTGTCGGGTGGCTAAGCAGAAGTCGTGTGTTACCGGTCTCCTCAAGCCATTCTTACTCATATCCTTCATCCGTTAGTACTTAATAATATTGTCACTTTCCTACCCATATTTCAATGACATAATCTCTATCTTAGTAACTAGCAGTGGTAAGATATAATACATTGTAAGCTGTAAGGCTAATACAGGCATTTTACTAATACAATTAAGGTTCAAGCGTGTGTAACGAGGAAAAGCGGCGCGGCGCCGCGGCGGCGTGAATAGCACTGCTCAGCTCGCTATCTTACATCTAACTTTAATGCTTTCTTTAAAGGAACCGGTTAACGTTTCACCATGGATGAGTCAAGGGAATAATGTTATCGGATGTAAGATCAAAGATTCCATTGCTTCTAAAGAGTTTCTATTGTAACTCCCACTATAGCTATGAGCGTGGCAGTGCCTATCCATACGAGGTAATGACAATGCTAATAGGTACTATGAATTATATTTAGTATACATAGCGTTTTAACTTTTATACCAAATAATGAGTTACCAAACGGTCTCTACCTTACCAAATCAACTTATTTTTTTTATTGCTTAAGTTGGTGGACGAGCTCACATCCCACCTGGTATTAAGTGGTTACTTGAGCCCATAGACATCTACAACGTAAATGCGCCACCCACTTTGAGATATAAGTTTTAAGGTATCAGTATAGTTACAACGCCTGGCCTACCCTTCAAACCGCAACGCAATACTGCTTCACGGCAGAAATAGGCAGCGTGGTGGTACCTACCCGTGCAGACTCACAAGAGGTCCTACCACCAGTAAATAAGCTTAAAGTAACAAAGTGTGGCATCTGTTATATAATACACTGTAGCCGTGCGTCAACGCAATTAGGTCGGCAGCAACCTTATCGCTAATCGAGAGCACTGTATCAGTATGCACTGTAGAACTAGAAAATTAAAAATTGATTGTAATATAATTCTGAAAAATTGACACCGAGTGTTAAAAACGTACTCCTGTAGTAAAGGTGAAAAGGATTTAGGAACTACTCCCAAAACGAAAAGAATATGAATTTACGCCTACCAGGTGTTTAATGGTTCCCAGAGAATATTGACCTTGAAACTTCAAGTACGTCTGTCGTTATATGGCCCTGAATTTCCACGTGGATACTGTGGATTTCTTGACTTTTATTACGGAATGGTTTGGTTTATTGTACATACTAAGATTTATCGGTCGTTGGGTATGTCATGAACCCATCGATATATAATAGATCAATGCATGAACCCGTAAACGTTTGTACTAGGCCATCTTCAATACATTAACGTTGGCTTAAAGCTGTTATTTCAATGAAATTGAAACTTCGAGTAGGCACCTACCTAGTTTGTTGAGTTTGTGAGACTCGTAGTAAGCTTTGATAGTCTGTGGTTTTCAGTAACCGATTATGTAGACACTTTTGGCGGGAATTTGTATGAATTATTTTGTTTTGTTAATTTAATGTTTCATCGGGCTTAAACGTGTAATAATGGTAGCTTATTTACCGTGTGCCATCTGTGTAAAATAAACAAGTGTAAAAATATGAAACAGATTTACTGATCCTGGTTTTTTGGATTCCTCCAAAAAGGCTCTTGAAGTCACAGTAAATTACCACCATTTTACTGAGACGTTATTCCAATACATATCTTATCTCATCCAAATTCATCTCAATTACAATTTCAAATAATACAACTCTATTTTATTTCCCTCCATTGATTACAGTAAAAGTATAATAGTTTTATTAGGTCTATAAGCCTTGCGAAAACCGAACAACATACAATAATAACACATCTCTCATTTAAATTTAACATACAACTGATACAACATACGACATCAACATCAAAGCAAAATGTAATTGCAAAACGATTTACAAAATATTTTTACGTGTTTAATTTTTTTTTATATGTTTATTACAAAAGTTCATACCAAGGTTATATGCATTATTAAATTGGTCACATTAACCTTCGCTTCGCTGCGAATGGAGTTCAGTGAACGTGGAATTGCACGGCCCAACCCAGGCAAAACAATACAAGTTATTTTTTTTTTTTATAATACATTAAAAACTTATAGAGTATTTACTTAAAACTTATAGAGAGATTTTTTTTTCATTTATTGTTTATCTGCATAAGACGGTTTTAGCGATAAGGCCTCCTTTTTTTTCCCTACCTATGCTGATAGCCTTGAGAGGCTATTTCAGCGTAACCTTAACTAGTAGGTGAGCTCACGGGGTTCAAACCTGACGACGTTGCTAACACAAACCCTAGCAAGAGTCGTGCTTCGCAGAATCTACCACCGGATTGGAAACGCGACCCACTGAGAAGATCCGGTGAGAAACTCAGTGGGCTGTGTCTGAGGGTTAATTTACTCGTCGAGCCCTTCGTCGCAAGCGACGGGTTCGACAAGAACGATGACCGGTGCTTGAGGTACCTAAAAGCACCGTTAGTGGATCGGGAGGATAAGGCCTCTGCTGATGCCTTTGTGTTTGAAATTAATTAGAAACTATTATTATTCCGATTCGATCAACACAAGTTTAAAAATGGAGTGTCTATTACTAATATTACTCTTCATTCGCGAACCAACTCCCCTTGAGTTGTTAGGTCTCCTTCGGAGGCGCTCGGGCAGCTGTTAGCAAATCCCACGCCTCCTGGCAGGGCCTTTGTTCGCCCACGTGTCCTGGTGAAACTGGAAAGGTCTCCGGGCCACCAGCAATCCTTCAATAATAAAATAAAAAAAATACTCTGCTTGTAAATAGCAAATCGGACTTAGTTGAGAATGTAGTGAAAAATAAAGAAAGATCCTCAAAAACTCATAACCAACTTTATTTATGGCTGTTTTATGATGGTAAACGAGCTACAATACATCTTATGGTAAGCGGTCCCCGTCGCTCCCAGCATCAGCAAAGCTAGCGGCACAGAAGAACTTTTAGAAGTCGTCGTGGCCTAACGGATAAGACGTCCGGTGCATTCGTGTTGAGCGATGCACCGGTGTTCGAATCTCAGGCGAGTACCAATTTTTCTAATGAAATACGTACTCGACAAATGTTCACGATTGACTTCCACGATGAAGGAATAACATCGTCTAATAAAAATGAAACCCGTAAAATTATAATTTGCGTAATTACTGGTGGTAGGACCTCTTGAGAGTCCGCGCGGGTGGGTACCACCATTCTGCCTATTTCTACCGTGAAGCAGTAATGCGTTTCGGTTTGAAGGGTGGGGCAGCCGTTGTAACTATACTTGAGACATTAGAACTTATATCTCAAGGTGGGTGGCGCATTTACGTTGTGGATGTCTATGGGCTCTAGTAACCACTTAACACCAGGTGGGCTGGGAGCTCGTCCACCCATCTAAGCAATAAAAAAAAAACCAGTCGAACTGTTCTATGGTATAATATTAATTTTACTATGACCGGGCCTCACTTAATTCTATTAAATTCGTTTACTCCGGATTTCCTACAAAATATTATGTGCCCGAAAGAGTTGTTATTAAATACGTAGTTAGTAGATAGTTAATTTGTACGTGAATATGTATGTTTACACGTATGTTGTTATTTTAATACTTCTCCCTCTCTTACAGGACAATACAACATTCACAACAATAGAAATGGGTTAGCACTAAGTTAATTGGGATTAAAGATGGACATCAAAGTTAACTGATCAATTTTCAAATCAAAATCCATAGTCTATATTGATTCAAATATGAAGCCGGAATATTATATATTGGGAGGCTTTTTTCCAATATTTCTTCCAATTTATATATCGGCTAGAAAACAGCGAACAAAACCAAAATGTAATGAAAGAAAATATACATATCACAAAACTACATTTTTGTGAAAAAGCAGTGAAAATTTCAGCCAAAGTGTATCAAGATACAGTCTTGAATCGTGTTGTGAAACCTCTCAGCAATACAATTTTTAAAAATATTTCTAACGGGACTCTGCACCTGGTCACAAGGCACAAATTACTCATGCCTGGCTCGAAACCAACGTTCCAGACTTTATAAGAGCTGAAGATGGACCCCTTTGTCATGGCGCCACAATTCCAAGGAGGATCCCTGAAACCTTCCGAGAGTATCGGGATACCGCCACCGTGCTTGACTATACTCCTTTTGTATTAATGATTTTTAAAAGCATTGTTTACAGGACGTCGAACATAGCGCCTTCCATCGGAACTTACTATATTTATTTTTGTTTCATCTGAAAATAACACTTTTTCCATTCTCGTATCGTCCAACCAACATATTTTTTAGCGAATAATAATCGCTTCTCTCGGTGTTGCTTGGTAAGAAGCGGACCTTTCGAGAGGCTCTTCCAAACAATTTAGCTTCCACTAATCTTCGGTGTATCAATCAGTCTTGACGAGATGTTCCTCGGGTTATCAGACAAAAGAACTTCATTTTTGATCTGGTTGGAGATTTTAATTGCGTCTCTGAGCTCATCCACCCAATAAAATTCCATATTGTGGATGGATGGATATAATCTGAGTCGACTATTATCAAAGCCGGCAATCTGACTTTTGGACAATGATTGATAAATCAGAAAAACGAATTATTGACTTTGTATTCCATTGGCAGTCACAAAACTCTTCGGAACGACACCTTAGATAAATAACATGTTAACTATTAACCTTTATTTAATGCAGGTTTTAACCGTATTCTTTGAAGGAGACGATTATATTCAAATCAATCTGTATTGACATATCAATAAATTTTTTTTGTCCAAATGCACAGATTGCCACCTTTGATAATAGACGACTCATCTATACTAATATTATAAAGAGAAAAGATTTGTTTGTTTGTTTTTTTTTTTGTATG